CCACTTAAACTAACTTATAAATTATTGGCTAAAAAATGCATTATTATTGTATTCGCAACATATCTAAACTCATTTAATCACAATATAATTAACTTAAAAGAGAAATCGCAGAAATTGCTGCAGTCTTTCACAAACTGACAATTATGCCATCTAAACATGTATAATGAAAACATAATATAAGAGTAGGTCAAGCTATAATTAAGTATCATCATTTAAGAGCAAGCATTAATAGAAAGAATAATTAGGCTGTGCTTGCGTAAGAAGCTTTTAAGTGAAAAAATTAGAGATATCAATAATTCATACATATTTTAACAACATATAAGCACATAAAGCAAAATCTAACAAACAAAATGCATATAACATATACGTAAAAATGCATGTACGTAAAAATTTTGAAAGTCATTTTGACCAGTTTGCTTGTTGTATAAAAGAAATTTTGAGAGCAAATTTGTCAACAATAGCGTGCCACAGCATCGAACTGAACAATTAAAGCTGAAATAAAGAAAAAGCAGACAGAAAGGCAAGCAGGCACGTGACATTCATCTAATTCTTCATGTATACGTAAAAATATAAAAAATTTGCACATTGTATACAATATTATTAATTTAGTTCATTGACTTAAAATTGTAAAAATTTACTAACCAAAATTTTCTTTTGTTTATACATAACTAGCAATTTTAATAAAATAATTACATGCGAGGAGGAAAATTTTTCTTTTTTTTCCACGTTTCAGGATTGAAGTGTCATTAGAAACAGAAGTTTGGCGTTAATTAAAACGTGATCTTACGTGTGCACAAATTGGAATGTATTATTATCAAGTGAATGACAGACTGAGTGACTTAGTTAACTGATTAGCTGATTGAATTGGTATTAGCTGCCTGAATAGGCTGACTGACTGATTGAATGGCTGAACTGGCTGGCTGGCAGCAAGCAGTAGGCAACAACGATGCAATGGCAATAGAAAATAGCAGCAACAGAAGTGGTGGTGGTAGTGGTAGTAAGCAGCAGTTGAAAGCATTGACGTGTTAACAGTTGCAAAGCATTTCGATTGCAAAAAAAGTTATCTCAAACGACAAAAAGTGTTAGTAAGTGAGTGAGATATTAGTTACCTGCCAAGTGAAACACATCGGCAGACGGCCAGGAAAGTTGCTGCCGTCTGCAAATATATTCTGTGAGCAAGTAAGAAGTAAGTGGTGGCAATAATGAAAAACCAGTCAGTCAATCAGTTAGTTAGTCAGTCAGTCCTAACTTGATTTTAACCCATAGCATTACATCTAGTTTACTAGCGGGATGGCACGTAGCACGCAACAGTGCGAGGATCATGTTAACAGCACGTCAAATTTGTTGCAAATCAGCTAACTAATTAAATGATTAACTTGATCTAATTGCTAACTTGTAAACTTGACATTACTACTTGCTACTAACACTACTACTTACTGCTAGTATTATTTTTTTAACTTTTACATTATTATCTCTTAACTACTCACTCACTCACTCGCTCACTCATTTATTCATCCACTCGCTTAATTATTCACTCACTGAATTATTTTTTATTCATTCAATTACTTCCTCTTTTACTTACTTTTTCCAACTCGCTCGCTTATCATTCCATTTATGTAATATTCCCAACTTCAAACTTCCAAAATACACTTTCTATTCGTTCAACTCATTTCAGCATCACTTGTCTTTTTCAAATGAAATTTGTACTCTTTTTTCCAACAATTATTCAACAACACTTTCACTGTCAAAAATGTATTATACTTTTGCCAGCACATTTATTTTATTTGGTCATTGATCACTGAAATGCTTTTACTCACGCAGCAGCCAGTAGCAGTCAGTCACTCCTCTTCTCCTCACTACAATTCACAATTCATTTCTTCCTTTCTTTTCTTTAAATTTGCCATCGTCATCACCATCTCACCATCATCGTCCCCATCATTATGATTACCATCGTCGTCATCATTGTCATCACCATCACAATTTTTTCTTATTGCAATTATCAATGGGAAGAGCAATGCGGAGATAAGCAAGCATACGGCACTCATTGTATTCGTCAATTAAATTATCTAACCTAACTGTATCACCTTATATTATTACTATTATCATTATTTATTATTATTATTATTATTATTATTATTATTATTATTATTATTAATGATGCAGTGTTTATGATAAAAATTAGTTTTTTTCCTAATTGCAATTTGTTGCATATAATTTGATGCATAGAAACTGCAGTTGAAATAATAATGTATATATTAGACAAAATATTTTTATAAACGAAAGAATTTTACAAACAAATTTCATCAAATTTTATGTTTTTGCTTATTATTATTACTATTATTTATTTTGTAAGTTTGAAAAAAAGTATACATTGCAATGCAAAAACAAACAAATATAAAATTGCACCAAAATAATGTACAAATTTTTTGTCATGTGTTATGCAGTACGAAGAAGATTTGTACGCAGCATAAAATAGTAATGATTCTATGCATTGCCTGCCTTCTATCATTATCGAAAACAGCTTAACAATGCATACATTCCCTTTAAAAATGATTATATCAACTCATAAAATGCACAGGCAAATAGCAAGCACGTTTATAACTGCTTGCACAAATCCATTTAATTTTCATCATACATCCTAATCATTTGTGATGTAAACGAAAAAAGTACTTCAATGTTTTTTAGAATTACACAATTTTTCTGAATATTCTCATTGTAATCTCCATTACAAATGTATCAGTAGTACATCTCATCTCACGTATTAATTATTTAGGATTATTTAAAATGCAAAGCATTTATAATAAAATCATCATTAAAACATTTTGCTCTTAACCACAAAAGTAAAATTAGGTATGATAATGTTATGCATAAGTTCAACTATTACAAATCTGTACTTCAGTTCTTTTTTGCTATTAGCTGTTTTAATCTAAGTAAATAATGAAAAGCTTTAATATTTCTCAAGACTTGTTAGTACGTGGAATCATTCATCTACTGAAAATAAATATCTTATTGTAGAACAAATGTGCTGAAGATTAAACAGTTTATTAGCGATCAAATATAAAACGAAATCGATTACTACGCTTAGCTGAAATATTTTAGAAACAATTAGATGAATTTTTAAAACAAATTTTCAACTTCTTATTTTTTCATAACACAAATAATTGCATATTTTTTTGGAGGCGTATTCAATTGTGTCAGAGCAAAACAGGTGGAAAAAATGGAAATGGAATTGCGATAACACCTAATCAGAAATTTTAAATTTAAAATGATCCAAGTTAGGAAATTGTAACTAATGAATGATCAAAGAAGCTTCTACAAAACGCCAGCATAAAATCCTGTTATTAATATACTTGCGTGTATTATTAAATTACAGAGAGTAAGTAACTGAAATAGAAAAATGGTAAGTTAATAATGGAAGGAATTAGACGAAAGTTAATGTCAGTTCACTAGCATAGTAATGTAGCAAAAAAAAGCGCCAGTATTAAATTTTTCACAGAAAATGTGCGCATCTTTGATATTGCACACATCACTTTTCATTTCTACAGTAAATCAATCTATTATAAAATTCATACAAAGTGATTCAATAATGAAAAGGAAATTTTTGACATCTAAAAATTATTCTCATAAAATGGAAAGCATTGAGAAGTGGGTTGTTCATCAATTACCCATGCGAAAAATTTTACTTTAAATTTGACTTCAAAAAGAAGGCATATACACTACTTAACACGTCAAGTGAGTAAATACTCAGTACAAGCAATCACCAATTAAAAATCATATTGACATTGTTAGCATTGATCTGAAGTAGAAAATACTTCACTGGATATAATCTAGATAAGGCTAATTAATTTTATGTAGAAAATATTTTATCGATACAAAGTCCACTGTATATGCGTATTTTATTTATGAAAAGTATAAATTAATGCTTTTTTGCAGTCTAAAAAATTTTCAATTTAAATTTCGTTAGTGCAAATGAATACTCGCAAAAATTTGAATAATATATTGTCAAGGTGTACAGAGTCCAACTGCCTGCCAATAAATGGCATTTAAAATATTGTGGTGTATTAACGATGAAGTAAAGTTTGAACATATAGAAGTAAGTCACTTTCCAGCAATGCTTTCTCAGTACCTATCAAATCCCTCGGTATTCATGCATGCTTATTTGATACACTTAAAATATCTCATAAAAGCAAATAGCATCCCTCATTTGCCACCTTTTCTTTCAAAAACCAGTTTTATAAGTATCTATCTTGCTAAATCACATATTAAACTTTTATTCATCTACAAGAATCTCTGATTTTTATTAGTTAAAAAAATCAAACATTGGCTGCTGTTTATCATTCATAACACTTCAGAAATAACCTTATCACTCATTAATTACTTTTTATTTTTGAAGTATAATTTATTCACTCTATTATAAATTTTATGCTAAAAGTATTACTACTAATATTATTGCAAAACAGTCAAACAGTCATCATAACTTCTCACTCTCCACTAATAATTGACACTATGAAATTTCGATTTTTAGTTTGCTAAATTGACACAACAACCTTTTCAAAATTGATTTCAGACATGACTATAGCAGGATATTCATGATGACATATACCTTATGTGTGCAGATATGGCAAGTGCATGTGACTTCATTCAATTCAATATCTAAATGTTTCTTCAGAGTACTTTCTCTTTCAAAAGCACTGCTTTTAATCATTTGCTCAAAAATAGAAAGTACCACAATTTATACGAAAGAAAAATCTGAAGCTTACTTGTTTTGACATTTCATCTCTTATATATATACGTTTACTTAAAAAAAAAACTAAGTAATTAGTGATTTATTACAATTTCAATTCCTTTTTTTTCACTTAATTAAAACACTTTTCATTTTCGTATAAATTCCAAAAGATTACTTAAACATATTACTGTTAAATTCAAAGAAACAATAACTCGTCAATTGACAATAAATTAATAGACTAATCGTACATAAATGCCATTAAGTGAATACTCTCTGCAGAATTTTCTTAGATTATTCGAGAGAGTGGACCAATAATTTATTTTGTATAAAACATTCTGATAATTTGAATACCACACTGGATGTCATAATTAGACACACATATGCGAATAATACACACGTGCACACCCAGACAGCCACATTTGTTTATAAATACTATAAAATTTGCATAATACTCTTTGATTGAGTAATGCGGGCAGGTTTCATCTCTTCTCATCAATAAATAATTTATGCATGAAGTAAGTATGTAACAATAAGGAAAGATGAAAATGAAATTAGGTAAATGGCAGCAAGTGAGTGGCCAAGTTAAAAGAGTGATTCCATCACGTGTTTTCAAGATGCACGAGGATGTGCACTCGTGACATGTAAGCATAGCTTCACCCTTTTTAATGCTTTATGAATTGAGCCAGATAGTTAGATAGTTACAAGCACATGACTTAATCTCAACTTATTGCAGAGATATCGGAGAAGTGAATCTAACTTCAAATAATACTAATTCGTCATGAAATCTTTTAATTTCCACGAGATATCGGAATAGTTGATTATTTTTTGCTTATCACAGTAATGACTTGTTTGTATGGATAGATATATCCTTTAATACATCATACACAATGACAAGTTTTACTTTTCAAATGTAGTAAAAATTTGATTTTTCTTAACACAAACAGCCATAAATTTATTTTTTATTTGATATGGATCGGATTGAATTAATTTGAATTATGAAGCAAACATGATAGGAGACGATTACTGCTTTCTTGGAAAATCACTGAACAACTGTCTTTGTTCTACAAGGTCGTCGTTATTTTAACAATGGCCAATACATATCCCAGCCAGTATTATCATTTAAATTGCCTATTTCGCAGCTGTGATGTGATGCGATGTGATGCGTAGTGTAGGATAAGAATTGAAAATCAAGTATGAATTGCAATAAACACTTTTTCATTTTCAAAAAAAATTGAATAAACATAAATTAGCAAAGTTTAAATGATGGAAAAATATTTGAATGCATTCAAGTAAAAACAGAAATATCTGCGGTCAAACTTCAATGCTTGCATTCAAATGAAATTAGTTTCATAATTAATAAAAATATGCATTAAATATGAAATTAATTTTATTAGATACAAGACTAAAAATATGCATACAAATAATGCATTTATTATTTTTAATTGAAAAAAATAAGCAGCGAAAAAGTGCGAAGAGAATAGCAAGCAGCTCTTAACACTTTTTTGCTGAAAGTTTACGACAGCAAAATGACCTCGAAATTAGGTAAAAATTACATTAGTTTTTAGAACGTTGCAAGCCATTACTGCATGGTTGAACTGTAAAAACCGGAAAATGTTAACAACAACAATAACTGATGA